TATATATATATATATATATATATATATATATATAATTTCAAGGATTTTCATGGTAAGAAGAACTCTTCCATAGGTAATCATTTTTGAAGATTTCTCCAAATTTAAAGAATTTTACAATCTCTCTTCTAAATTCTTATATGTTTTTGGGGAGTCTGTTGAAAATAAATTCCAAAAATGTCCATTTTAATGGATATGTTGAAGATGTTCTTATAGTTTCTTTCAACTTCTTTAGAAAAAGAATCCTCTTGAAAACAAATTTCTTATAAAAAATAACCATTTTATATCAAGAGATTTAAACATTTATTAACTTCAAAATTTGTGAGATCTGTAAGAACTTCTATCTTGAAGTTAGGTTTTCTATGATTTCTTTTCATCTAGGTCTAGTATTTAATATAATTTTTTTTCACAATGTATTCGTTTCATAATATGTATTCGGTTCATAATGTGAACAGAGCACATGTGAAACAAACACACTGTAAAATAAATATATGTTAATCACTACATTAAATTTTATTCATAGATAAAAAAAATCATATGAAATAACATATGCACTGATTCTCAAAAATCTCACGATTAAAAAAATTCTCAAAGGTCCCTGTTTATATCAAAATTCAGACTTGGGTTACAAAAAAATTTCAAGCCTGTTATAGAATTTTTTACAAAGTCATAATATATCTATTCGTTAGTTGTTTGACCCCTCGATGGCCCTTTTTTCTCCAAATAATTTTAAAATTATAAGAACGTACAGCGATATATTACGATGACACATGTAAGAAGTAGGAATTTTTGTATTGTAATGAAACCATGAAACAATGCATGAGCTATTTGTGTCCCCAAAATATATAAAAGTGATGTTCATTTTAATTGATGACAATAACATAAATCCCCTTGTGGCCACAAAGGTTCAAATGCAATAACTCCAGACTACCCATAAAATAGATGGTCGTCTTAGTATTAGTCGACTTACATAACGAGTTGGATATACAGGTTAATGAAAAATATATAATAGTGATGTTCATTTTATTTGATGAAAATAACATAAATCCCCTTGTGGTCACGGAGGTTCAAATGTGATAACTCCAGACTACCCGTAAAATGGATGATCATCTTAGTATTAATTGGCATATATAACGGATTGGATATACAGGTTAATGAAAAATATAACATTAGATCATATTTTATGCTTTAAAAACATAATTGAAAGCATGTGATGAACAGAGGACAAAGTTCTTGTTGAAAGAATTTGGACTTGGTTGGTAACCATTAAACCATGTATATTAAATGACCTCCATCTAATCTCTTCCTACCCATGTGAGATACTTTTTTTTTTCAAACTTTCTATTGGTATTTTAACAATATAAAATAATATTTGTGCAATGCAACGAGATATATCTCGATTTTAATATTTTATTTTATTTTTTTGATCTCTACCAATGTTATAATACGAATTTATGTGGTTTTGAGCAAACAATAATGTTTTTCTTAATAAAATTTAATTTGAAGATATTATAAAAATTAAAAATATATATATAAAAGTTCTCATTTTTTTATGTAATTTATTTAATTTAATTTTTTTGTTATAATTTAATTTAAGTTTAATGACGAAGTATTTTTTTTTTTTGATAATATAACTTTTATAAAGATAATAACTAAGTATTCTGTTAGGACTCAATAATTATCATAATTATACTTTAGATATATTAAAATGAGAACTTTATTTTATATTTGATTATATTTATCTACAGTTAGTTACACGAATTCTAATATGAAGCTTAATAAGTTGTATTTATGCACAATTTACTTGTAATCTTGAATTTTAAGTAATATGCATCAATAAGCAATACTTCATGTATAAAAGATGGTTTTTAAGAGTTTTTTTCAAATGTTTTACAATATAGCATAAATACTAACGAAATATGATACAAACTACTATGTTTTTTTTTTTAAATGTGTTTAATGTATCATTTATTCTACTTTTTTTATTTACTGAAAACATATAAATAACAAATGTATTTTTGTGTTAAAATATGTTGTAATTTTCTATCGACAAAATAAAGGAAAGTAATCAGTATCTTAAATCAGTAGCTTTCAGATAATTGATATATGTCTTTTATTTATTTATTTAATAACATGAATTTACTAATAATTCTTGACAAAATATGTGTATTGAACATTTTGTGATAACAAATAATTAATTATGATATATATACGTTTGTTGATTCATAAAAAAGTATTTAATAAATAATATTGATAAAGTTCAAAAAACCCCATAAATATGATATATTTTGGGTTGTTAAAGATCATAAACGGCTGAAAGATGAGAAAGTGAGTAGTCGGTCCATATTATGAATCCATACGTCATTTTGGAGTTGGATTCTTGTTCCCACCATAGGTTGTGGACCAAATCATTACGTGGTCCACGAATAGACATGTTACTACTGTACAGTTTATATATATATATATATATATATATATATATTGGGTTCACGTGAGATCAAGGGTTTTTTGTGAGTTTCGTAAGATCAATTTATGTTCATTTATCAACTTTATAAGCTAATGATCTAATGGTCTAAAGTTGTACGGTGACAATTTTGTGATTATTAAGAAATCTCGTGACAATTTTGTGATTATAAATATTCATATTGTAGATCTAATTCAAGGATTGATAATTGGTCTTACGGGTCTCACGAAAAACATTTGATCTCACATGATCCCAAGTGTATATATATATATATATATATAATTGATCAAATACAAACCACTCAATTTGTATAAATCGTGCAAACTACCATCATTCGTCGATTTCATTGTTTAATCTTATAAAAAAATTCATGAAATTGTTTGATCTTGTGAAATTGTTTCATATAATATTTTTTTTTGATAAAGTTGTTTCATATATGGTTATGAAATTGTTTCATATAATACTTAATAAAATTTTAATGAAACATTTTCATGTATTTCTCTAAAATTCAAATAATAAAGATGATAATATCCATTAACACACTCCACAATAAAAATGATTAATCAACCTTTTATAATTACAAAAAAAATGAACAAAATGAAAAATTATTATTGGTTGAATGAGGTTTGTACGGTTTGTACAAATAACGTGGTTTGCAAAATAAACCTCCTATGTGTGTGTGTGTGTATGGATGATCAAATGAGAACGGTACCCCTATTTTAAAGAACGTGAAAACGGATGAATCACATGTGATTTTACACTTAACATCACATATAAAATCACATGTGATTCAGACAACTTTGCCCGACGAACTGAAGGCACAGCCACAAGTCGCCTAGACATATTTTTGACCATTAATATAAAATCATATGTGATTTTGTACGTGATTTTGTCTATTTTCATGTTATTTTAAATATGTACCGTTCTCGTTTGATCATGCATATATATATATATATATATATACATATATAGTTGGGTTTCAGTGAGAATATACACCTGAATGCACCGGATCAATTCTCGTATCTAGCACTATTCATGGATGAATTTGAGATTAAATGTGATCAAGGGTTCGGATCCCTTCTTACGCTTCTCACCTTAACTCTTATTCTCACACGATCATTTGTCTATGTGTGTGTGTGCGTGTGCAGGTTTAAATAAAAAGCTAAACATTTTGAGAGAAGACAAGAAATTTCAATATCATATATGATTACATACTGAAAAATAGTTCAATTTGAATTTGAAAAGCAATTGTCTAAATCGTAATTTCAAGTTGAAATATATATATATATACATATACATATATATATATATATATACATATACATATATATATATATATATATTTATATTTATATTGTGAATAAATAACCTACTTTTATATATAGCTATTAGATTGAGAGTTACATCCATAGTTTGATGTTAATTGGAATAAAATTAATTATTAAATATAATTGGTCTCAATCATCGGATTTGTAAATAATACTAATAGACATCGTACTAAACAGTTAAAAAATAATTTTTTTTTTATTAATCTGGTTATCCAACTCACTGTGTGAGTCGACTAATGCCAGGACGACCAATTAAAAAATAAAATTCTTGTTTTCCTTGTTAGTGGGTTCATATATGATAATATACCATCATTGGACATCCCATCTATCCTATCATCGACATCCTTGCATGCTTCAGATATATGATCACTTAGGATATAACTAGCTGGCATTTCTTCATATAAAATATCTTGTTTCCATTGATTTTATCATGGGATAAAGAATCAAGCATTCATCAACTATTCATTTATATTCGATGTAAACTTCAAAATATCTATAAACTGGTAAAATCTGAATTGTAGCTTACTTTTCGGATATAGACAAATGTAGGATTTTTATTTGTAAAAATCTTATAACTATTTGTATTGATCAAAGAGCAAAATGCATTCAACAACATTGAAGACTAGTTGAACTGAGGTCAAGATCGTCATCAAAACGGATTGGTTTGTCATCTAGCCGAAAGAAGTAGGCATGGGAATGGGGCGGGGACCGCAGTCTTCGTCCCATCCCCGATTACTTATCTCTATCCA